TTGATCTTTTGAGTGGACTAAGGCAGCAAATAAGGCCTTTGACTTGATTAAGAAGAAGTTGTGTGAAGCTTCTATCCTTACCTTGTCGGATTTCAACCAAGTGTTTGAAGTAAAATGTGATGCAAGTGGTGTTGGCATTAGGGTAGTTTTGAATCAATCCAAAAAGCCAATAGCATACTTTAGTAAGAAGCTTAGTAATTCAAAGAGGAAATATAGCACTTATGGTAAAGAGTTTTATGCTATAGTGAGAGCACTTGACCATTGGAGTCACTACCTTTGACCAAAACAATTTGTCTTCCATTCGGACCACCAAGCTTTGGGGTTCATCAATGGGCAGCACAAACTCAACACAAGACATGCTGAATGGGTTGAGTTCATCCAATATTTCTCATTTATGCTGAATTACAAGCAAGGAGCACACAATGTTGTAACCGATGCACTTTTTGGAAGGTATGTCTTACTTTCTTTACTTGATTCTAAAGTTTTAGGCTTTGAATTAATGAAGTTGTGTTATGAGGTAGATTGGGAGATGAAAACATGCATAACTAAATGTGGGAAACCTGGTTTTGAAGATTATATTATGCATGATGTATACTTGTTCAAGGGTAGAAAGTTATGTGCCCCTAAGGGTAGATTTAGAGAATTAATCATAAGGGAAGCACATAGTGGTGGATTGGCAGGTCACTTTGGGGTTACTAAGACTTTAGAAACCATCAAATAATATTTTTATTGCCTAAGATGTTAGGGGATATTCAAGCTCTTATTAGAAGGTGTGGATCGTATCAAAGAGCTAAGAGTCAATTCAAGGCTGGCTCATACTTACCCTTACCCATATCCAAGTACCCTTGGGAAGACCTTAGCATGGATTTTTTTGTTGCATTGCCTAGGACCCAAAGGGGAAATGATGCTATCATGGTAGTGGTTCATAGGTTCTAAAAAGTGGCCCATTTCATATTATGTCACACCACACATGATGCCTCCAAAATTGCAGAATTATTCTTTAGAGAAGTGGTGAGACTTCATGGCATTCCGAGAACCATTGTCTCAGATAGGGATACAAAATCTTTGAGTCATTTTTGGAGAAATTTATAGGGTAAATTAGGGACAAAATTGATGTTTGGTACCTCATATCACCCTCAAACTGATGGCCAAACCGAAGTGGTGAAGAAGGTGTTGGGTAATGTCCTAAGGAGTTTGGTGAGTAAGCATTTAAAGGATTGGGATTTGCAATTGGCACATGCTAAATTTACCTACAATAGGAGTCCTAGTTCTAACACGGGCCACACTCCCTTTGAGGTGTTGTATGGAGTAAACCCACTTGTCCCTTTTGATCTATCTTCCCTACTCCTTGATTTTGAGCCAAGTCTGGATGTTAATGAGAAATTGAAGCAAATGAAGAAACTCCATGAAACTGTGAGAGCTCAAACTGAAAAATCAAATGAAAAGATCAAGAATAAGGTAAATAAGCATAGAAAGCCTAAGCTTTTCCAACCGGGGATTTAGTATGGATTCACTTGAGAAATGAGAGGTTTCTAAGTAAGAGAAATAGTAAATTTATTTTTTAAGGCAGATGGACCCTTTGAGGTTGTTGAGAGGGTAAATGATAATGCTTATAAGGTGGAGTTGTCTAGTGAATATGGTGGAGTCTCGACCACCTTCAAGGTGGGGGATCTAAACCCCTACTTGGAGGATGATTTGGATTTGAGGGAAAATCCTTCTCAACCCGGGGAGGGTGATACGTTTACAAGTTTTAAAACACTTGTAAACATGAGTGGACAAGGAATTGCAAGTCCTAAAACACTTACTAATTCAGTTGAATTGAAGAATTCCACTCCAAGTCCTAAAACACTTGGATTGTGGAGTGTGGAAAGTAATGGAGGAAATTTGGCCCAAGCAAGTTCCAAGGAGGGAGAGAGCCCAAGCATTTCGGCCCAAACCATTCCAAATCCAAGCCCAACAAAGGAAGCTCAAGCCGACCAAGAAAGAAGTCCAAGTGTTGAAAGGTCCAATCCGGCCCAAGTCTTATTCCAAAGGGGAAGATCCACATGAACCCTTATTGAATCCATTTGCATGATTCTCAGGGCCCAAATTCTTACACCCTTATTAGTAGACTTAATTAGGATCATTGATCAAGTTTTGATCTAATGAAATAAGCTTATTTCACCTAATAGGGTGGTTAAAGACATAGATCCTAGAATTAGGGAATCATGTCTCTTTTCCACTAAAAAGGCATGGCCTTGCTTTTTGAATGAATGGCTTGTAATATTAGTTAAATTTATTTCATTTTAATGTATTTGTCAATTACTTGTTTATCGTTGTATTTGCCTATATAAGAGCAATTATTTCATTGTAACAATTAGTTTATGAAATATATGAAATTTGGTTTATCCACTTGAGAGAACTTGTGTGTTCCTCCGGGTGCATTCTTTATCCAAGTCTTGGCAAGGGGATTTGGTGGTGAATCAATTCAAGTTGGTGGAGTAATCATTTAGGCTTAAAGTGTTTCTACTTGTCTTGGTCCAGATTTGCAAGTAAGTATGCTTTAGTTCATGTTTTCAATTTGGCCGAATTTCTACTTGATTTTTGGAGCGTGTTGTGTTGATGAATTGGTTGGAAATGGATTAGGAGCCATATGGGGATCACTTTCTACAATGTGGGTACATTCCCCACGATTGCGATTAAGGAAAACCGCAGATCGGGCTCTTCCACGCTTTGGAAGAAGCTTTTAGCATACCTTGACACATGCTGGCTAGAGTCATGTGAAGGCACTGAATGGCTTGGAGAGTTATCTTGACCTTCGCGGTGGTTAGAACCGACTCGCGGATGGTGGGTATTTCCCTCGCAGTGATGGTTAGAACCATCATTCTGACGATAATGGGAATCTCCAGGTCGAGCACTCTTATGGGGGTGCCCTTGCGATATGGCGTGAGACGACTTGCAATGTTACATATCGTCAAGTCACAAAGCTATAGGTATTCTACCTGTTTCACGACCAGTATTCACTAGCCCTTTCGAGCCTTTTGGTCCATTACCAATCACATGCTTTCCCTTATTCTTACACGATGTAGTATGCGTGGTATGAGCTTTTGCCTGTTTCCATGCTTAAGTGCGACCTACAGGCGTTTTTGGAGGTGGCACCGCCTTATCAGAATTGGGCGGTATGACCTGATCTAAACGATCTAACATTTGGTTAACCGTTTAAAGGGTATTGTTGAACCTTTCCAGGTAATCATTACAGCTGGATCGAGCTGAGAGGTTGAGGGGGTACCTACCACGGTACTTAGGGAAACTAGAGGTACTTCGGGAGGAGTAACATCCTGTACTCAGGGGGGATTTCTCGTTATTGGTGCTAGTACGCTTGGTTTCAAGACCACGAGCCATAAGTTTGTAAATAGAACTGGTTGATCAGAAATTCTAGATAAAGAGCAGATATAAAATCTAGCCCTCCTTCTAGCACCAAACTGTTGATGCGTGACTTTGACACCAACAACTCGCACATGCAAAGTGCAAAGTGCTAAGCTGTTCTTATAAATGACATGTGATTAACTAATTCAAGAGTCAGGATAAGGTTAAACGATATTATCGAATGCAAAGACTGAATAATAAATGGGAGAGATGACTTTTAAAGTGGTTTGGATGCCTAAAGCGATTTTTACGTCCACTGTTTCTTTTATATATGAGACTTTACAAGAAATCACATATAGCAAATATCGAGCAGAGGTACAATAACTAAATATTCAGAGAGAATATCAAGTCAGTCTCTTTCTTGTAGGTTGTCTTTGTTATTGATTGCTTATGAAAGTGAAGATTAGAGATCCGAAAATGAGAGGGGGAGTCCTCTATTTATAGTAACTGAATTCAAGGTAATGATTACAAATCTGCAAATGGGTAGGTGTCGTACAAGTCCTTCCTTGCCTCCCATAGGCTGATAACTTAGAAAATATCCTCAAATTATCCAGGGCTTGGACAGGTGTGCGATCCTCATTCACTCATAGACAAAACCTGAATCTGTTGGGTTAATGACAACTATATCCTTTCACTACAAGAAAAATGACATTCTGCGTCTAAACAAAATTAGACGCAGAAAGTCACATTTAGACGCTAAGCCATTTTTAGCGTCTAAATTCGGTTGTCACCCCCTTAGTTGCAGTAGGCTGGTCGTAGATTCATAGCGCGTCTATATTGTGGTTTAGACGCAAAAAGTTTTTTTTTTGGCGACTATCAAAATAGTCGGCAAATGTTGTTCAAAATAGTCCCCCCACTTAGACGCTAAAAGTTTAAGGGTAATTGTGTAAAATTTTATAGTGACTAATCAATTAGTTGCAAAATGTTAGTTTTAGTGTCTAATAATTTGTCGCGAATCCCACACAAATTAGACGCCAAAGGTGTAAGGGTAATTTCTACCATTGAGAGAACTTTGTGTTCTTATTGAGATTTCTTTATCCAAGTCTTGGCAAGGAGATTTGGTGGTGAATCGATTCAAGTTGGTGGAGAATTCCTTTATGCTTGAAGTGTTCATTCTTGTCTTAACCTAAAAATTGCAAGTAAGTGTGACATTGCTTCCATTTGTGTTTGGCTGAATTTGAACTTCAGTTTAGGCATATTTTTGTGTTGTTTGTTGTTGCAAATTGGTTGGATTTGGATCACATGACCAAGCCAACAATGCCATAGGTACGTTTGATTAAAGCTATCAACTTTGGCTTTCTTATTCTCAAGATTGAAAAATTCATTATTTTCTAATTTTAGAACATACAAACCATTATGCAATCCAGTAGTTCCATATTAAATAACATTTACACTAATTGACAGTAATACTTTAGTTATCATAAATTGATATCCAATTTTGTCCAAAGCGGACATAGAAATAATATTCCTAGAAACTAAAGGAACATAAAAAAAATTTGCAAGTTCAAATACAAGGGCCGAAGGCAAACTTAAATAATAACTTCCTACAGCTAATGTAACAACTCTTGCTCCATTCCCAACTCGTAGGTCCACCTCTAGTAGTCTACTTTATCACATCCTTGCACATTAGTGCAAATATGAGAACCATATACTGTGTCAATGACCCAAGATGTAACAGGAGAAATACTGATTTCAATTGTATACATACCTTTGGAAGAAGATGTAGGCTTCTTATTCTTGATTACAAGGAAGGCCTTGCAGTGTTTGTTCCAGTGGCCAGGCTTGCCACAGTGAAAGCAAACAACCATTCCATCTTTGCTCATGCCTCTAGTAGGTTTAAAGGCATCTTGAGTTTGAGGCTTGGACTTGCTTTTAGCCTTTCCTTTGCCTCTCTTACCCTTTCCTTTCCATGGTGCAAGATCAACTAGCATCATTAGATTGGACTTCTTCATGTCCTTCTTTGTTGTCTTTAGCATATTCAGGAGCTTTGAGAGAAACTTCTCCATTGAATTCATGTGACAACCACTTTCTACTCAAATACTCATAAGAATGTACATAATAAAATAGGATAAAGAGTTGGGCCCAAATTTTTCTTTTTATTAAACATATATATTCTTTACAAACATATACATATTTTATACAAAATTGTCAAAAACATGGTGGACAGTGCAACCGCTTCCCCTCGTACGCTGGCGTCCATCCGACCGTGTCCTCACCTAGATCCTGTAAAACATAGGAAAAACAACGGGGTGAGCACTAAAATAATGCTCAGTAAGTAAATCCTCTACTCGTCTAACCCCGTAACTCTCTCTCTAATTCTTTCCTTACAAATTCTCATTCAAATTCTCTTTGGTACTTCTCTCTCTATTTCTCTTTCTTAGAACTCTTTTCTATTAACTCTCTTTAGTAAGTCACGACCCCATCTTACTGGGGGCATGGCCGGGGCTCACTCCCGCTCTCCGTAACTTCTACTCATCCTCAGCTGATCGGACTCGGTTATGCATGGATTCAGAACCCTTGGCCATGTGAGTATATAATCTCTCTCTCGGGTACTCGGGTATAGCCCTCATCCGCATGCACTCTCACGGGCTACACCACTTCTCTTTCTCATACTCATGCCGCTCTCTCAATGCGGCGTACATGCGGGAATACTCTACCCATTACTCACGGGTTCCCCATCGCACAACCTACTCTATGCTCTTTTCTCTTTGTTCTTAAATGCTCAATCTCTCTTTCTCTTTACCCTTAAAGTAACTTATACTCAAATTCTCTACTATGTCTCAAGCTACTTCTTAAGTGCATAAAAATGTGTATGGATAGCTCATGCTCACTAATGCACTTATGAAATGCCAAATACAAGATTTCCTCAAAACACTCATTCTGCACAGGTCACACTAAAAAGGCCATAACTTGCGTTATACACCTCAGATTGCTACGGTTTTGGTCTCGTTTTAAAGCTTAGAAATAGGGCTATAATTTTATGTTTTGGTCTCAGCCCAGTTCAATCCGTAAGATGCCCAAAAATTACTTAGAAAGTCATGGCAGTGACAGGGCATATTTCACTTAGGCATTTCATCAACCAATTCATGTGCATATAAACACTCTACTAAAATTACTGCTATACTTCATTCTCTAGCAATCCAAAATGGGAGAAACTCCCTCATATAACCATAATCCCTGTCAAGAAAAGCACTTCCAAATCTGTTTACACAACATCTCTCAAACTTCATCTCAAGTTCCATTTCTCAACACCTATTAAAACACTTCTCATATCCAATATATTCAACAATCATACATCACTACAAATCTCATATCATCTCATCTCAAAAAATATAAAACACACATATACATACTCAAACTCTACTCAACTAAATTCTCAAATCTCAATTTAGTTAGGATTTACTTACCTTGTGAAAAAAATTACTTCTCTAGCACTTTTCCTTTCCTTTGTTGTCTTGTCTTCTCTCTACAACTCAAAACAACAACAAGAACAGCAGCAACCATATAAGACTTCAATATAACTATAAGAAAACTCACATCTAAAGCAAGAATCCTTACTTTAGGATGCTTTAGATGAAATCTCTACTCAAAATTACTCAAAACTCTCTTAAATCCCTTAGAAATCTTGGGAAAATTGGATGAAGAAATTAAGAGAAATTAGACAATGGAAGAGGCGGTGGAAATGAATGAATAAAGGGTTTCTCTACACTTTAACTCTTTTTAGCTCATATTATATCCTTCCTTTCCCATTTTGCCCTTGCACTTTTGCTAAAATTCCATCTATATCCTTTGATTCTTTGCAAATACACCCTTATCTCTAACACATTCTCTAATAAATTTCCTTACATTTTACTCCCCACTTTTCCTACTAATTAGGGGTAGAATGGTCATTGTGCCCCAAAAGGAGAATTCTCTAGAAAACTCAAGAAACTTTTTATTAGGCTCGTCACTGCGGCAAAGAACTTTCCGTCGCCCCGGCGAAACAGGGTAGAACCTACCCGTGGGTGCAGCTCCTCCTCGCCGCGGCAAAGCTTCTTTTTCGCCCCGGCGAAGATTGGATTTCCAAAATTCACCAAATTTCAACCAATTTCAAGGCAATAAATCAACCAACTCAACATACAAACTCATTTGACGCTAAATCAATGAACCTTTAAATAATACACAAATCTTAAGTACATACCTCAAGTGGGGTGTTACAATTCATATCAAAATTCATTATGAATTAGGAGGACTTAGGCAAGGATTGGAGAACAAGGTCTATTGAAAGTTCTGCATCCATAGCAAATCCTAGATTTTCAAGCTTCTGTATGAAGCCAATCATCTTGACTACATGTGAGCTCCTTGGGGTTTCCTCAGTCACTTGGCGTCTATATAATGCCTTTGACACCTCATAACATTTATGTCTAGCATGCTTCTGAAAGAGCATCTTAAGATGTGTGACAATGGGGCCAACATCCAAATTCTAATGTTGCTTTTATAGATCAGGTGTCAACAATGTTAGTAAGATACATTGTACCATGTCAGTGTCATCCAAATACTTTCTATAAGCATATCTAACTTCCAGAGTATCCTAAGGTTTAGGTGGTTCCATGGCAGGTTCATCAAGGATGTACAACTTCTTTTATGACTTGAGTAAAATCTGAAGATTTCTATACCATCCAGTGAAGCTTCTACCATCGAAGTTGCTTTCCTTTTTGATGATTGATCATAGTGATAGATTAGTGGTAGTTATTATGTAAATCTACAAGTAAAAAATTTAAACAGAGCTAATATCTTAATTAATTAATAAGGCCTTTTATTAATTAATATACTCCCACTACTTTTCTCAAGCTAATGGCCCTCACTATTAAACCCAGGAAGGCCTGTTGGTCTTTCTAGTGGGTCGAAATCCCATTATTCCTAACTTGACCTCTCACAGGGGTGAGTCGATCAAAGTAGGATGAATAGGTAGGCCACAAACTTTACTTTACACCGTTTAATAGCACCAACTTATTAAACTCAATTGTAAACAAAGAAAACAAACTAATTACACAATCTAACAGCACCAACCATTGGCCTTGAGTGTAATTTTTGGATCGGTGAGTTTGGACACTACATGCCCACTCGTGCATTTTTAATATGCACTATTCTACCATGCCTCTAGGGTATTTATCAACCCTTTGTAGAGGCGAATCCAGAAAAATATGTCTAGTTAAGTAATAACTCATCACCATTAAGAAAAAAGTCTAATGATGATTAACCTCCCAAAAGTAGAAGTGGCTCTTCATGGGGACGAATGAGACCATGACGAACAATGGTTTGATTAATCCCATGGTGATGGAAGGCTCGTTTTATTGTTGACTTAATATCATTATGAAGGGTTTTGCTTTTAATTAATATCACCAATTTTATCTTATTTAGCATGTTATAGTCTTGGCATTCAACCTTAGCATGCTTCTACAATAAGACAAAAGCCATGTTGGTACATGGCCAATCTAAAACAAATTTCCTCGAGCTTTGAGGAATTTGGTAGGTCACCCTAGGTTCATACATTCTATTACAAAGATATAGAAAATTCTTCAGGATGTCTTCATGCCTTTGCCTCGTCTTCAATGCCTATTCTACTTTACACTGAATATAAAGAAACCTCGAGTTACATTTGAGGGGATTTAGATGAGAAGAGAATTGCATTGAGAGTTTGGAGAGAGGTGTCGATAAATCCTAAGGTCGATGGCCAAGTACCAAACACCATGCATTATCGACACCAATCAGATATAGCCTATATTCAAATTTACTAAATTTGAATTTACTAGGTAAATTACATTTACCCCCTTTAATTTTGTAGACTTACCATTGATCCCTTAACTTGCAAAATTTGTAGTTTAATCCCTATCCATTTTGAAAACAAACTAAATAGTCAAAAATAGTGGCAACTTATTCTATTCCTAATGGCTTGGCAAAAAAGTTCAAAACGCCACCTTAAAATTCCTAAAACGCCCCTACCCTACAACAACGGAAAGTCCCTTTCACCTTCCAATTCCCACAAGAAAGCTCACGGGATTCTCTCCTTGATGGGACGTTGGTAGCAATAGCTACCAATACCCCAATAGCTCAAAAAATGGGCCACTCCCACTAGGCTTGCACACATAATGCAAAGCCCAAAAATTCTAGGGTGGTTAAACTGGCAAGACAGTGCCATGTACGCAAGCGAATGATAGAGAGAGACCAGTAACGTGCTGTGCGCACAACATGTAACATAGCCACGCACTTGCGCGTGCTTGGACATGCGTCTTGGATAAGCATCTAGACAAGGCTGCATTCAGCGAAACGTGCACCCTGTGTTGTGGCCAGCCATGCATTAACACATGGCCAAGGGCCTGGAAGATGTAGCCAAGGACAAAGGTTGCGCGCAGCCCTCCAATTTAGCCACCAGATTTTTAGGGTTTTGAAACCCCAATTTCCAACCAATTTATAACAACTCATTCAACAAAATTAAATAAAATTACAGTAGGTTTAAAATAATCAAATTAAACCCTATGTCATGCATACTAGCACATGCCAACTTATACAAGTTGTAGTTATCAAACCTAAGCTCTGATATCACTTGTAGGAATCATGTTGTGGCAAGCGCAGAATAATAAATTTGTTTTTTTTGTCATGGCACGATCCCCTTGTCCAAGATCATGGCTCAATAAATTAATCCACAATATATATATTGATTAAACCATACAAGTTTAGTAATTTTATATCTTTGTTGGTGGCTCCTTCTCTAGATTTGGCTATTGACCCAACATAGGATCAAACACGACAGTATCCACATGAAAGTAGGCTCAGGATCACTCTAGGATTGATTGCTAGACCAATTAAAGTGCTTAAGGGAGTTGGTAGAAATTAGAGAGAGAATTTCTCTCTAGGGTTAGTGGTGGCTAGGGTTTTGGGAGAATTATTTTTGCTATTCAATTTTTCAAAAATAACTTATGAGAATTGCTCTATCAAATCGAAACCCAATGACCATATATATAGGAAA